TAATCACACTACGTCCTTCTGTGGCTTGCAGGAACCTGCGTCAGACGTGTGAGAACCGAGGCATCGACACAGTGGATATGGGTCCAGATGCTCTAACCATCAACTTGAGTGATGCGGAGATCCAGTCGGGTCATCTGAAGGAGATCGGACGTCTGCAGGGGGAACTCAACAACTACCGCAATGACCTCGATGGACTCAAAGTCAAAGTAAGGAATTTCATATACCAATTTAAATATTTTATTTGGTTTTGCAGCTCTTTTCAGTTAAACTGTAAATTTGAACTATGAATGACTGGATAAAATCATTCATAAACTAAGAGCTGACATGGATGGTTCCAACTGAATAATTATCAAGAACATGTATGGTTTGGACGGCATAGTACTGAACTGGATAAGCTCTATCTCTGTGACAGATGGCAGTGTGTAATGATAGGGAAAGACAGATCTGACAGCATTACTCTCAAACATGGAGTACCACAGGGATCTGTTTTGGGACCGTTGCTGTTCCTGCTGTATACTGGCTCATGTTGCCAACATCACATCAGTCCACAACATGTCGCATCACTCTTACGCAGATGACACCCAACTCCTCAAGAAAATACCACTGCAAAATCTAAATCAGTCACTTCAAGAACTCACAAACTGCACAGGGAAATCAATTCCTGGATGACAACTCATATGCTTAAACTCAATGACCACGAAGACTGAGGCACTTCTGGTAGGAACAAGTCACCAAATTTCAAGATGTCCCATTAAGAACCTAACCATCGCCGATGCAGTTGTTCCTATAAGCTCATCTGTCAAAGATCTAGGCATATACTTTGATACATCACTGTCAATGGAAACGCAGGTGAACAACATCTGTTATGGTCAGATTCTTTCCATGTCACTGTTGTCATCAACTGAAGGAACTGATAATAATATACATGTATGCATTCTGTTTCCGACCCTGCCCACAATGGTAGGGTCTCCCTGTGGTCCAGCAGTATCATACTATACAACAATATAGACCTGTGGAGGTCCAGGTCAGAATTAGTCCCCAGGGAGCTGATTCTTGTCGTAAAAGGCATCTGAGACGTCAAGCGGTTATAAGGCTACTTTGTTGATTGCCGTTACTATTGAAGTTTGAACAGAATATATTAATGATGACATTTAAGACTATTTTAAAAAATAGGTTAAATTGCAGATAAAATTATTAATATCAGTTTATCTTATTTTCTTCTCTCCACAGTGTGTAGCTTTGCATGGAGATCAGAAACACACAACATAATACACATGTCAAATGTATCATAAACTGAACAATATCATATCAAGATTCTCACAGTCACATGTTAGCTGACTGATGAACGTTACCGGTCTTGGCCTGTTTGCTGTTTTGTAATTATACAAACAAATGATGTGTCAGTAAACATTTGCCACTGTTTAGTGTTGTTTCCATCACAAATTTATGACATTATTTGAATTTAAGGAATTTTCATTTTGCAGTTTGGTGTCTTTGATAGAGATGGAAAAGTGAAGTGAGTAATTTTACAGTTTTCATTGATTGCATACATTTATCTCAGAAAGGACACAGTTGTTGTTAAAGCTTTAAGAATGACATGGGGATGCTTTATTTTTGACCTGAAACCCCACAACCATTTTATTGTCAGAGATACTTCACAAATAGATGCTCAAGTAAATAATGTGGAGATAATCTTTGCCTATGATCATGATACATGGATTATTGTCCTTCCATTGTAACGAGTGGCTACCTCATTTGCTGGTTGTTATCTGAGACCTCCACATGCATGAAACACTCTCAGTATAATTCCTCTGCCATAACGCTGATGGAATCTAGAAACCCATCTACCATAGCCCAGTTGTAATATCAGTATACTTTGATACTAGGTAGCTTCAGCTATTTCTTTCAGGCACCATTCAAAGCTTTTTTGCATGTTTGTCAATTCAAATATCTTCTAGTCTTGGTGACTGGAACAACATCCGGAAACACCTGCGGGAGTACACGCTGACCACGCAACAAAACCTGGAGGATGAGAGAGCCAGATTGATGAGTGAGAACAACGTCTTGAGAGAACAGCTCCAGGAGAGTCAGTCTTATATAGACAACCACCTAGCTAGGTGAGTGTTGTGTAACTGATGTTGAGATAGGTTGATGAGTGAGAACAACGTCCTGAGAGAACAGCTCCAGGAGAGTCAGTCTTATATAGACAACCACCTAGCTAGGTGAGTGTTGTGTAACTGGTGTTGAGATAGATTGATGAGTGAGAACAACGTCCTGAGAGAACAGCTCCAGGAGAGTCAGTCTTATATAGACAACCACCTAGCTAGGTGAGTGTTGTGTAACTGATGTTGAGATAGGTTGATGAGTGAGAACAACGTCCTGAGAGAACAGCTCCAGGAGAGTCAGTCTTATATAGACAACCACCTAGCTAGGTGAGTGTTGTGTAACTATGTTGAGATAGGTTGATGAGTGAGAACAACGTCCTGAGAGAACAGCTCCAGGAGAGTCAGTCTTATATAGACAACCACCTAGCTAGGTGAGTGTTGTGTAACTGATGTTGAGATAGGTTGATGAGTGAGAACAACGTCCTCCAGAGAGAACAGCTCCAGGAGAGTCAGTCTTATATAGACAACCACCTAGCTAGGTGAGTGTTGTGTAACTGGTGCTAGGTGAGAACTGGTGTTGAGATAGGTTGATGAGTGAGAACAACGTCCTGAGAGAACAGCTCCAGGAGAGTCAGTCTTATATAGACAACCACCTAGCTAGGTGAGTGTTGTGTAACTGGTGTTGAGATAGGTTGATGAGTGAGAACAACGTCCTGAGAGAACAGCTCCAGGAGAGTCAGTCTTATATAGACAACCACCTAGCTAGGTGAGTGTTGTGTAACTGGTGTTGAGATAGGTTGATGAGTGAGAACAACGTCCTGAGAGAACAGCTCAGGAGAGTCAGTCTTATATAGACAACCACCTAGCTAGGTGAGTGTTGTGTAACTGGTGTTGAGATAGGTTGATGAGTGAGAACAACGTCCTGAGAGAACAGCTCCAGGAGAGTCAGTCTTATATAGACAACCACCTAGCTAGGTGAGTGTTGTGTAACTGGTGTTGAGATAGGTTGATGAGTGAGAACAACGTCCTGAGAGAACAGCTCCAGGAGAGTCAGTCTTATATAGACAACCACCTAGCTAGGTGAGTGTTGTGTAACTGGTGTTGAGATAGATTGATGAGTGAGAACAACGTCCTGAGAGAACAGCTCCAGGAGAGTCAGTCCTATATAGATAACCACCTAGCTAGGTGAGTGTTGTGTAACTGGTGTTGGGTCAGATTGATGAGTGAGAACAACGTCTTGAGAGAACAGCTCCAGGAGAGTCAGTCCTATATAGACAACCACCTAGCTACGTGTGTGTTGTTTAACTGATGTGGGGTGAGATCGATGAGTGAGAACAACGTCTTGAGAGAACAGGTCCAGGAGAGTCAGTCTTATATAGACAACCACCTAGCTAGGTGAGTGTTGTGTAACTGGTGTTGAGATAGTTTGATGAGTGAGAACTGATTGAGGGAGATACGTGACTTTGTAGTGATGAAGCATCCATCTCTGCTGCAGGTACAAGCAAGAGATTGTGAAGCTGCGTCACCAGTTGGGGATTAAAGAGGATGCACTTTTGATGACCGAGAGGAGTCTGAGTAAAGTGCGGACAAAACGCAAGTGACCTGGCATCATTACATCTTCCACATAGACTGCAATGGCCACCTTGGTGCTTCATTTAGGGAAGCCCAGAGTCACACTTGCTTGGCAAACTTTATTTGTGATTCAACTAGACTTTGGCTGCATTCCACATTGCCAGGGAGCACACATTTAGAACTTCTGCAAGAGTAACATGATACTGTCTTCTGAACAAATAATGTAAAATAAAAAGAAATAATACTGATTCAGAAATATAATTTGAAGGAAATGCACAGGTTATATAAGCAACAATTCCCTTTCTTTACCCAAACCAGAGTCGCTTGTACAATTCTGTGAATATCATGAGCATGCATTCACGAATCACGCTCAGATAGTGATGATACCAGGTGTTCATGAAAAGGCTGAGTATTCTGTCCCTATTGAGACACTCATCTGAAACACATGCCAAAGCAAGTAATTTGTGTACCTGAAAAATATGGAAACATATTTATGGAACAAATCAAAATAGGGAAAGGCATTTTTGTCACTGATGCTTCAAATCTGGAAATATCCTCCACATGTCTGCTATAGTTTTGAAAGCTTTACTGAGGTTCTTAATGTTGAAAATTTGATACAAATGTTAAGCAACAGTCACATGACATGCTTTAAAATAATCTGAGAAAGAGCATGCTCAAAGGCACCTCAAAAAGTCTGAAATGTAGACACAGAAGACTGGGTCTGCTGGAATATTGCTGGAAATATAACAGAAAGCTAAACACTGAATTAAAACAAGGTATGATGCTGCAGTTCTATGACAGCAGACAGTTCTATGACAGCAGACAGCTATCTATGACAGCAGACCAGATAACACAGAATACCATGCTAAAGGAATTGGTGTGCAACTAAGACTGATGCTAAGAAGGCAGGACGATTCAATCAAGAACACAGTGTTGTAACATCATTATCTGGTTAGATAATCACAGAACAATGGAACCATTCAGACCTATTGTAGAGGAAGTCTGAAACAGTTAGTGGGGGTAATAAGATATTTTTATACATAAATCAATATGAAATAATGGTAAATTCGGTTCCTGATCAGTCCAGAATCTTTAGATCAATGCAGACCGTGTGTATTTATGTGAGCTGTGCTGCATTGTTTGTGATACACTGCTGTAAACCAAAACTATATTGCTTATGTGACAGTAATCACAAATCATTGTATCACGAGCATGTTCATTTGATCAATCGGTCAGTGTTCTGTCATTGATCACTTCCTGTTTGTCAGCATCTGGGTTACACAAGAACACACATCACTGACAAGTATGTGTTATGACTTTGTGTATGGTGTTGACAATTATGTATTGCGTATGTCACCAAGGTGTCCATAGACATGTGTCACACATGTAGTTTCCGTCCAGTATTCTGTGATATCCTCTTGTTGTTTGTTAGTACGCATTTAAGGGTACACATGTATGAAATGTACTCAAAGTTTTCTGTCACATATAGTAATACAGTGATTTGTTAACTACTGCTTAGAAAATATATATATTGTCTAATGTTTGTACAAAATCAAAGTAATAGTTATTGTTATATTTTGTTCATATGTTAATATGGAAAACAAGAATACAATATGAAAATCCATGTTAATTTTGAAAAGATTTTATTTTGATATGTACATTGTAAGGTTTGTTGCATTATGCATTATTTTATACAACTGACATGTGATATTACGATGTGACATGCTTATTCACACTTGTAAATAAAACAGCTTATCCAATGGAAAAATAGAGTTTCTTTCTGATTTTCCAAACTGCATGTCACCTCTTTCTGATTTTTATCTGTTGGATGTAATCATAAGCTTATGTTGAAAAAGTTCAAATTATGAAGAGAAAAATATGCAATTGAAAAATTTAAAATAGTATACATCTGCTATGCATAGTTGAATTATGGTTTATTAAAGTACAAATGGACAGTATTCTATTGTAAGGCAGCCACTGGAAAACTGCATGACAGTTATAGAAATATGTTTTTTCTTGCTCCAATGGTACAACTTCAACATAAAAACAGTACACTTGAAGTCCGTTCATCACCTCGATGGAACCTTAACTTACTGACAGTTCCTTAAGGAACATCGTCAACATCCATGTCACTTGTCACACCACGCCAGGGAGAGTGAGCACCACAGGCCTGTTGTACTGTTCCCTTAAGGTTGTCCCACGACCTGTCCTAAACTCAGCACTCTCAACCGGAGTCAAGTGGAAACTTACGTTATGTTCACTTGTATTCTCCATGTGAATAAGATCTCTGCTGTTGAGACTGACCTGCTGGCTTCTAGGCCGTGATGGACCCCGGGACCTGTGCTCGCTCCTTACCACGCAGGTCACCAAGTCGGAGTGTTCAACAGACATGCTGCTGGACGACACCCAGCACAGTAGACGATGTCCTAGCTTCCTGATGACGTTCCTCAAGTCCTTGTTGAGGAGGATGAAGATGACTGGGTTCACGGAGCTGTTGGCGAAGGCCAGGAGGGTGGTCAACAGGTCAGCCAAGTATGGCACGGGAATGTGTTCATTGTTAACTGACCAGAAGTTCAGGATCACATACGGCCCCCAGCAGAGGAAGAACACACCTGGAAGAAGAACACACAGTTAAACTGTATCTAGACTGTGTGGTATGGTTTACATTCTGCCTTAAGATACCTCTTCCAGTGTATAAATAACAGTTCCTCTATGTGACATGCCTCGTTTTGTTACTGAAATGCCTGTTTTTGTTAATGTAACTTTTTTGTTTTGTGTGTTGTTTGACACGACACCAGCAGTGTTCCAGATATATGACGGGCATCTGTAAATAATTGAGTCTGCACCATACAATCCAGTGGTCGATATTGGTAGTAAGGCTTCACACTGCAGAGTACGAGCACACACTAGCAGCCAAGTCAACTGTTCATTCACACATTCAACACCATACGACCGTCTGTGAACATCGGACATTTGTTGTCCTGACATTTTGAGTAAAACACGTTCAGTCAAGTTTATAAAACTAGAAATTTCGAGTTGCTTTGATTATGTTCTCGATATTTCAACTATATTAGATAAAATAATGGAAATAATAAGGAAGTATTCGAAACGAGAAAATAATCGAATTTCAAGTCTTGGAATGAACCTGATAAAGGAAATAATAAGAGAACTTATAAAAAAATATAATAGAAATTGGGAGAAAAATGTCGAAGCTTCGAAAATAATAATAAAATATTTGAAGTATTGAGAATTTTTGGTTAAAGAAAATAATTTGTGGCAGCAAACTGGATTCCGTACGTGTCTGTGATTCCTTCATGAACACGTTGTTCCCATAAACACCACAAATGCTAGACGCAGAATCCCAAGGTTAACATGTATGCATTGAATGACGTAACATCGTGCTGGTGTGGTATTTGTCCTCAGCAATCATGCTTCCAGCATAAGTTCTCTATATTTGTTTTAACAATGCAGTGTTGGTTACTGAAACTCCCAGACACACCCTTAGGCTATCCATAAACCAACGTTTCGGGTTGTGATGTGTCTGAATGCCTCCTGTTAAGCGTTAGGTAATGTCGTTCATGTTTATTGATCAAATTTTAAATATCTTTCAGTGTTTTGGACTGAGGGATAAAGTGTAATCGACTTGGCTATTTTAGTTCACCTGTAGGCTCATGTCAGTGGAGACCCGTGAAGATCTGGGTCAGAATTGGTCATCATCAGTCCGTGCTTGTAAAAGGCAACTCACGGGATCGGGAGGTCAGGCTGGCTGACTTGGCTGACACATGTCATCGTATCCCAATTGCGTAGATCGTTGCTCATGCTGTGGTAACTGGAATGTCTGGTCCAGACTCGATAAGTTATAGGACGCCGCCATATAGCTGGAATATTGCTGAGTGCGGCGATAAACAACCAAACCAAACCTTCATGCCAGTGGATCTCGCGTAGATATCTGCGGTTGTGCAGATTATTATTACAAATAAAGCATTAAATTTTAGATCGCCCAAGAAAGGTTTCAGAAAATGGATGGAGTTTATTGGACTAATATAAAATAAATTATAAATGATATCATTTGCTCTTGCTTTCTTACACTTTGTAGCATGTACGTCCATCCCTGGTTCTTGTTGCAGAAATTCTGTTACTACAGCAGTTATAATTGGTGCCATTAGTTTGTTGTTTAACCCCACATTCAGCAATAGTCCAACTGTATAACGGTCGTCTGGAAATATTCGATTCGGTACCAGACAATTCAGTGGCTGACGTCAAGTTGACGCATTTTGGGTACGAATACTTACATGCATTAACCAGCGCCTCCAGATTCCGTTAGTTTCCTCTTACGACAAGTTAGCCTCTGGAGACATATACGCATGTAGTACAAAACTGCATCAATCCATGGATACCTGATATTGTTTGTGTTCTATGTCTTGGATGAAAGGAACGTTTGCAGTAATAGGCACTCATTTTGCCTGTCCATTGAGTTTTGGATCTGAAGCCTAACTTTGGTTTTACACAACGTTACTCAGATCCCACATGAGAACATGTGGAAACAGGCGGTATCTATGTATTATACCCCTGCGTTGGAATGTGTTCAGGTTCAGAAAACATATTTGATCATTTGACATTTACTTTGGGTAATATTAAAGCAAACAATGCCTTTATTAATGTCGATTGTAACCCACCACGTAACAACATTAAACCAATTAACTTGCGCCATTCAAAGAAATTATAAAAAAGAATATGAACGAAAATAAAGAATCAATAAGTATCGCTGATGTCAAGTATATTTTCGCCATCTGTTTTTGTAACCTAAACAGAACTTTACTCCACCGATCCAAAGGATCCAAAATATATAAGACATGTATCACAGAAATATATGGCTGCTATTACCCTATTAGAGATCGTACATTTGTCCGTGTTGTCCCAGACCCCCTGGTTCTGTACGTGTTGTCCCATGTGCCCCTGGTTCTGTACGTGTTGTCCCATGTGCCCCTGGTTCTGTACGTGTTGTCCCATGTGCCCTGGTTCTGTACGCGTTGCCCCAAGCCCCCTGGTTCTGTACGTGTTGTCCCATGTGCCCCTGTTTCTGTACGTGTTGTCCCATGTGTCCCTGGTTCTGTACGTGTTGTCCCATGTGCCCCTGGTTCTGTACGTGTTGTCCCATGTGCCCCTGGTTCTGTACGTGTTGTCCCATGTGCCCCTGGTTCTGTACGCGTTGCCCCAAGCCCCCTGGTTCTGTATGTGTTGTCCCATGTGCCCCTGGTTCTGTACGTGTTGTCCCATGTGCCCCTGGTTCTGTACGTGTTGTCCCATGTGCCCTGGTTCTGTACGCGTTGCCCCAAGCCCCCTGGTTCTGTACGTGTTGTCCCATGTGCCCCTGTTTCTGTACGTGTTGTCCCATGTGCCCCTGGTTCTGTACGTGTTGTCCCATGTGCCCCTGGTTCTGTACGTGTTGTCCCATGTGCCCCTGGTTCTGTACGTGTTGTCCCAAGCCCCCTGGTTCTGTGTGTGTTGTCCCATGTGTCCCCTGGTTCTGTACGTGTTGTTCCAAGTGCCCCTGGTTCTGTATGTGTTGTCCCATGTGCCCCCTGGTTCTGTACATGTTGTCCCAAGTGCCCCCTGACTGTGTACATGTTGTCCAAGTGCCCCTTGGTTCTGTACGTCTGTCCCAAGTGCCCCTGGTTCTGTACGTCTTGTCCCAAGTGCCCTTTGCCATGGTTGTGGAACACATCCTTCCCCCCTGATTATCCTACACAATTGAAATAGACTCCATGTCTGGTACCTGGGTGCTGTTGGTGCTGTGGGTGCATGTTATCAACACTCTCCCCCAACCCCCGTTCCCAACTGGAGAACAAGTCCGTAACAACGTACACTCATTCAAGGTTGAAGTTAACGGGATGGAAATAGTCTGTAGCAAATCTGTTCTAAACGAATTAAAACAAAATGTATGTATAGAGCCACCAGTAGTGGGTATTTAAAGGAAAAGGGACGCAGGAACACGAAACGGATAACACGATTCTCGGGCAAGTTTCCCAGATCTCCTTTTGTCATCAATGTTGGACTTTGGTCACTAAGTCCATGAACACCGTCTTTATTGGGATGGAAATTCATTATTCCTTAACTTTCCCCTATATAGCCTTCGGTTCAAAGTAATCGCAAACTCTTAATTTTCTACTTTGTAGTTTGATCACATTTCCATATTATACTCGAATATTGTAAAAGAAGGTATGCTGGAAGGATAACCTCCAACAAGCGCCTTTATTCTAAATGCAGGCAGCGCATAATGGATGTACGTGGTGGGGTTAGGATGGGGGTCAGTAACTACGCCTCAACAGTAACTCGAGACACACTACACACTTCCACCAAGTGGAACGTATTGGAGCAGCACAGTGTGTTTGTTCAGAGTACATCTATATCCCTCGCACCCAACAACCATTGGTGTTGATGTAAATATGGAGACATACAGGTGCCAAACGTGCTGCTGCCGTCTTGAAGCGAGAAAATCCATGACAGTCCACTTGTAGAACAGCCTGACGGGAAATGTGCAAACAGTTCTTCAACTTTAATATTTTTATTGAGATATCTGGTTGTATTGATGAACTGGGAGGCAGTGTGTTTGTATGTTACATGTGTGACGCTGCAGGCTACCTGGGGTGTTTATACCATAGGTTGATTGTAATCAACAATAACTCTGTAAACAACAGCCCGTGTGTGTATCGATCACTATAACCACATACACGCTGCTGTATCAGAAGAAACATAATGTAGAAACGGGCCCGGGTACGATCAATGGCATCGGTGGAAACCTCTCTTACCATGTTTTTTATGCACTGTTCACCTACTCCGTAAGTGGGAGGCTGGGTGAGGCGGACTGTGGGGCTGGGTGAGTGAGTGAGTGAGTGTGTTTCACGCCGCACTCAGCAATATCCCAGCTATATGGCGACGTCTGAAAATAATCGAGTCTGGACCAGACAATCCAGTGATCAACAGTGAGAGCATTGATCTACGCAATTGGGAGCCGATGACATGTGTCAACCAAGTCAACGAGCCTGACCACCCGACCCCGTTAGTCGCCTCTTACGACAAGCATGGGTTACTGAAGATCAATTCTAACTTCACGGTTTGTTGCTGGGTGAGATGGACAGTGGTTTTGAGTGAGAGTGGTGATGTTTGTGGTCGAGGGTGTTAGGTGAGATGAACTGTGGTTCTGTGGTCGAGGGTGTTACGTGACATGAACTGTGGTTTTGTGGTCGAGAGTTTTACGTGACATGAACTGTGTTTTTGTGGTCGAGGGTGTTAGGTGAGATGAACTGTGGTTTTGTGGTCGAGGGTGTTAGGTGAGATGAACTGTGGTTTTGTGGTCGAGGGTGTAACGTGACATGAACTATGGTTTTGTGGTCGAGGGTGTTAGGTGAGATGAACTGTGGTTTTGTGGTCGAGGGTGTTACGTGACATGAACTATGGTTTTGTGGTCGAGGGTGTTACGTGAGATGAACTGTGGTTTTGTGGTCGAGGGTGTTACGTGACATGAACTGTGGTTTTGTGGTCGAGGGTGTTACGTGACATGAACTGTGGTTTTGTGGTCGAGGGTGTTACGTGACATGAACTGTGGTTTTGTGGTCGAGGGTGTTACGTGACATGAACTGTGGTTTTGTGGTCGAGGGTGTTACGTGACATGAACTGTGGTTCTGTGGTCGAGGGTGTTACGTGACATGAACTGTGGTTTTGTGGTCGAGGGTGTTACGTGACATGAACTGTGGTTTTGTGGTCGAGGGTGTTACGTGACATGAACTGTGGTTTTGTGTTAGAGTTAGGGTGGTGGTGGTCGCGTGTTTCTAGTTCTATAAGAGTTGCTATAACTAACCTATGTTGCTATAACTGTCCTATGTTGCTATAACTGTCCTATGTTGCTATAACTGTCCTATGTTGCATCATGCAGTTGATATAACTGTCCTATGTTGCATCATACAGTTGATATAACTGTCCTATGTTGCATCATACAGTTGATATAACTGTGCTATGTTGCATCATACAGTTGATGTAACTGTGCTATGTTGCATCATACAGTTGATATAACTGTCCTATGTTGCAACCTACAGTTGATATAACTGTCATATGTTGCTATAACTGTCCTATGTTGCATCATACAGTTGATATAACTGTCCTATGTTACATCATACAGTTGATATAACTGTCCTATGTTGCATCATACAGTTGATATAACTGTCCTATGTTGCATCATACAGTTGATATAACTGTCCTATGTTGCATCATACAGTTGATATAACTGTCCTATGTTACATCATACTGTTGATATAACTGTCCTATGTTGCATTAATACTTGTCCCATGCGTTGTAATTGTCTTGTGTTGTATTAATACAACTGATATAATTTTATCATGTTGTATTAATTCGGCTGACACAATAATCTTGTGTTGTATTAAAACAACTGACATTGTTATATCATATTGCATTTATACAACTGACATAATTATATTATGTTGTTTTAATACAACCGACATAAGTGTATTATGTTGTAGTAATACAACTGACATAATTGTATTATGTTGTATTAATACAGCTGACATAATTGTCCTATGCTTCATTAAGGCACTGGTTATAAGTGTCGCATTAACAGAACATAATTAAGTTGACATAATTGCCAATCGTGATGAGCCCAATCCTGGCTACAATACAGCTACACAAAGAACCCTCCTCCCCACTCTTGACGGGTATTTCCATAGGTATGCGGAATCGGCACAGATCCATATTGTGTTCGATAGTAATTGTTGTGGAATATGATCACTCCATCAATACAGCCTGAAGCCGGAACGGAATAAATATTGGGTGTTTTCATTCACTCCATAGGACTTTACCACTTGGGAAGTAATTGACTGCATTAAAACCCAGGGTGGAGCTACGGTCTGGATAATGGCTGGTAGTGGAACCCGGATCAATCGTTGTCCGATACTGGTAAACAAGTTCCAGCAGATGTGGGGGACCCGAAACTATGGCAGAATCTCATTAAAGGCGTATGCTGCCTTTGTTCGAATTTATGAAATATGAGCTTATGACTATGTTTCCGTTTTATTAAATACTATCGTCTGTAATGTTTAACTATTTCCGTTTTATGAAAGACAATCGCCAGTAATGTTTAACTGTTTCCGTTTTATGACGGGCTATCGGCTGCAATGTGTAAATGTATTATTGTAGTGAAGAAAGGTTTCAATCAAAATATATTGTTCTTTCAAACCGTAAATCGAAAACACTTATACTTCCCATATATTACTGTAAATAATGATTTTATTGCCTTTCCTACCATCATCATCATCATCATCATCATCAAGACATCATCAAGACATTTATATAGCCCACAATAATCTGTAGAAGATCCTAATATCTGCTAAATATAGGTTAACCCTTGAAACTAATTCAATATAATATAGTTTAAGATATCGCCTTGAGTAAAGGCTCCTTCACACTTATTTCGAATTGACAGGTATCAAGGAGAATCAGCCAGAAAAACAATATTGCCAAAATTCGAACCGCATTCGGGAGAGAATATCAAAATAAATTTGTTTTCAAGCTTTGTAAGAATGCGACTCTCAAATGCTATCTGACGTTTCAGTGACAGGTAGCCACGTTTAATGCGATTCGGTGATGTTATGCTGACGTCAGGACTCACTTGAAGAGCTTTCGGGACTTACCGACTATATTCGAGGTACTTTCGAGCTGTATTACAATTGCAATGGAAATATTCCGGTACATTTGAGGAATATTCCACCTGAATTCCGGCAGCAATCAAGATACATTCTGACTTATTCGATGCGCATTTGGGACATTCTGACAAGATTGTAAGTGGCTTGCCGTTTCCATTCTCCCTCGAATACGTTCAGAATACTTAGAATGCACTAAGAATACTTAGAATGCAGTTAAACTGCACTTCAAATGCCGTTTTCCACTTTGAATGTACCTCGAAAGTTTTGAACATGTTTAAAACATTCGGGCATGTTACAAGAATTGACCCGATTACAATTATAGTAGGAATGCATTCGGAATGCAGTAAAAACTTTAAGAACGCAGTTCGAATTTCCAGGAATCTCCAGAAATTTTCATTCCGACAGCATTTGGGCTCATTCCGCCTCAAGGGTGAAGGGGGTGTAAAGCAAGTCTATACCTGTATTATATTCGAACCATTATTTACACTTGATTTAAATGAAAGCATTGGGCACCAGAAGCAGATATATCTTCAACGCATTGTTTATATGCCATAACATTTCCATACTCGTATATTCTCAAGCTAGCTGCATTTGTATTGTATAGATACCACCAGGTATCATGACGTTGCTAAGACACCCGGAAGTACACTAATGGTTTTACGTTTCCAAAGTTATCAACACACTGTGAAGATAAACAGTCATTTGCCATCTACCCGTGGTAATCTCCAGGGACGATAGTCCAGCAATCAGTCAAGTGCCTCATCGTTCTCCCTGTTGGGACCTCCACATGAGGTCATCGACCAGGGTTCTAACCGTGTTCTTACTCGCCCCTGTGAATATGATGCCCAGAAGAATAGACCAATATATTTAATTTACTGCCCCCGATGATTATCGTACCTATCTTAATCGAAAATTATCGACAGAAACTAAGTCACACCCTACAGGATTTGGAGAATGGCGATTTGTCAGTTAAGGCTTCTCGCCACGTCATACAACAGGCACTGCTCTCCATATTGGTTCATATACGGTTGTCAGTTTGGACGTCATGAGGTAATTTTACCACATTCGCTTTATTCCTGACTATCTGCTGAAAACGGATGGGGATGGACCTCCCATGTGTGTCTCTTGCGATGAAATGTTCACCATCAAGCATATTCTGCTTGACTGTGCGGACTTTTCAAATGCAAGGGATTCACATTACGAAGCGATAAATCTGAAAGATCTGTTTTCCATCTGGCATCTCATTGTTAGCTACCTGAGGGAAGTTGACCTGTATCATAAACTGTAACTATGTAATGTGAATGACGGTGTGACGCCCAACTCAGCTCACATACAGACCCCGATTTGTAAGGTTTTTGGTGGAAGTATATGAATCTCCACGAAAGCAATAGTGTAACCTACTCTAACACCTACATACTAGTTAATTCTGCAATAATGAATACTACCCTTACTCCTCTATATGTTATAACACAGATTCCCTGGTATAGTATATAAAGTGTCTTTCCTGAGAGCGGAAACACACGTTACAACATGATTCTTGTCCCGCTTGAAGTACGGCAATATGGACATAAAACTCGGAGTTGGGACAATGTGTTTCAGTCGGTTAGCTAAGTTAAGCTGCTGTCATTGTGGTGAGAGATATTGCTAAAAGTGGCGTTAAACTCAGATACTCACTCACTGTCAGACTACTTTTAGTACTTTTATTACTGTCGCTTTAATCAGGGGGTTGCCAAACCCAGCTCTAGATTTGTATATGGGTAACTAAGGTTGACTTACCTACAGCGATGAACACTTTTCTTACGGCCTTAACGTTCCTGGAGAACTTGGTGGTGAGGGGTGTTCTCTTGCTCTCAGCAGGCTGATGCCCTTCCACGCTGAGGAAATGTTTTGGCGAGGGTTTCTCAAGTGTCCTCTGTAGAGAGTGGATCTTTTGTATTTGACTCCTAGCAATTTGAATTATTCTGATATAAGAGAAAAGCATGATAGTAAATGGCAGTGCCATTCCGAACACAATTAGGAATATGGTAAAGGAAACCTCTGAGATGTATTCTGGGTTACATATTGGAACAGTTTGAGGCTGGAACCTGTAGTCTCCCCACCCCAACAGGGGGAAACTTGCGATAGACACACAGAAGCACCAGATAGCCAGTACCACGAGCGACACTCTAGTGAACGTGGCCTCTATGGGGTAGCGGAGGGGGTGACGGATGTTGAGGTACCGGTCAGCAGCTATCCCGCACAACGAGAAGATGGAACACTGCATTAAAGTCGTTGTAAGGAACGCTGTAAACTCACAGACGGCGTTTGAGAGAGGCCAGGATAGAGTCGCCGTGGACAGAATCCAGAAGGGGAGAACCAGAGTTCCAACTAGGATGTCGGTGACTGCCAGGTTGAGGATGAAGATGGAGGAGGCTGACAACCTGGAAGACGTCTTGTAGACGGCATAGCAGAGAAGGGCGTTTCCGGCCAGGCAGGAGAAGATGAGGAAGGAGATGGCCACGATCTGAGAGGCCAGAGAATAGCTACTGGTGAAGTAGTCCGCATCAGCACTCTTGGAACAAAACTGGAAATCTGTACTGCAGTTAACAATTGTCATTGTATGATTGTTGGGACCTTCAGGTTTACTTAGACCATTCTCCTGAGTCGAATTGGGGATATGGTACTGAAATAATCATCCCCCATTAATTGTGTGTAACGGGTAATACAAGTCTCAATCATACAAACACAAAACATCATACACCGGTTCAGCTGTTCTTATGTTGAACAGTCCATGGAGAAATTAGTTTTACACCTCATGATATTTCTTTGCTACTCCTCCCGAAGACGTCAAAAAACTTCTCGTGACCATCATAGACACTAGCATCAGTTGTCCCCACAGCACACTTGTTTCTGTCTGCTGGGTAAGTCCCACCAATCCCACCCGGCTAGTTCCATCTGTGTCCACTGTAGCTGTGGTCAGTTTAAACAGAGTTGTTCCACAACGTTCCTCGCAGCACCAATATCACTGTTATCACGAAACTCGACGTGTCAGCATGTTTATGTTATCCAAGTTATCAAGGACTACTGAATACTTTTCGATTGTTGAGATAAGTCCGTGTTTGCCACGCGACTGGGAAAATACTTCCCACTCGCTAACTCACGTCCAAACATACAGAAGTTGTGCGTTGTGTGACCATTGATCTGCGCCCCACCGGTAGAGCCTCAGATCGACTAAACGTCCCGTCACGCCGCCTGTGTTACCTTCACCAGGTGTCATTACATATCGTCGGTTTGTTGCTGACGGCTATAGAGCACTTCACAATGCTTGATTTAATACAAGTGAAGTAATTACGGGCTGGTTAGTGTGATTGATCTTGATGCAATTAAGTTAATATTTCAGGGGGAAGTCAGATTGACGTGATATCAGCTTCAATCTGGCCGAGCCAGCCTAATTCAGTTTTCATAGTACATAATACCTTACAAGATTAAAACTGTACAATATTTATACTGAAACTGTACAGTATGTGTCATGTTTATATACGAAGTGACAATTTCGCTACTGACCTGTGAAAAGATGGTCAGAGGCTTCGGGTACACATATTTTTTTATGGCCATGGGAAACGAACTAGATGGAATGATGGAATGGCTAAGGAAAAGTGACATATTAAGGCAATGACAGCTATAAATATTTTGCAAACACCATGGTCGGAAAATGATTTTGAGTGGGGACTCTTGTACAACATACGGTTGTTGTTGCTAACAACATGTATGATGTCGAAGGTACAGACACCTAATATGTTGAAACATATTCCATCGTCATTTCCTTCAGTGTAGGTGACGGACATTACTCTAAACACATACAGAGTTATTCATTACTCTAAACACATACAAATTATTCATTACTCTAAACACATACAGAGTTATTCATTACTCTAAACACATACAGAGTTATTCATTACTCTAAACACATACAGAGTTATTCATTACTCTAAACACATACAGAATTACTTCATTACTCTAAACACATACAGAGTTATTCATTACTCTAAACACATACAGAGTTATTCATTACTCTAAACACATACAGAGTTATTCATTACTCTAAACACATACAGAGTTATTCATTACTCTAAACACATACAGTTTATTCATTACTCTAAACACATACAGTTATGTTATTCATTACTCTAAACACATACAGTGTTATTCATTACTCTAAACACATACAGTGTTATTCATTACTCTAAACACATACAGAGTTATTCATTACTCTAAACACATACAGAGTTATTCATTACTCTAAACACATACAGAGTTATTCATTACTCTAAACACATACAGTTATTCATTACTTTAACACATACAGAGTTATTCATTACTCTAAACACACAGAGAGTTATTCATTACTCTAAACACATACAGAGTTATTCATTGCTCTAATCACATACAGAGTTATTCGTTACTCTAAACACATACAGTGTTATTCATTACTCTAAACACATACAGTTATTCATTACTCTAAACACATACAGTGTTATTCATTACTCTAAACACATACAGAGTTATTCATTACTCTAAACACATACAGAGTTATTCATTACTCTAAACACATACAGTGTTATTCATTACTCTAAACACATACAGTGTTATTCATTACTCTAAACACACACAGAGTTATTCATTACTCTAAACACATACAGAGTTATTCATTACTCTAATCACATTACATTACTCTAAACAGTTAGAGAGTTATTCATTACTCTAAACACATACAGAGTTATTCATTACTCTAAACACATACAGAGTTATTCATTACTCTAAACACATACAGTGTTATTCGTTACTCTAAACACATACAGTGTTATTCATTACTCTAAACACACAGAGAGTTATTCGTTACTCTAAACACATACAGTGTTATTCATTACTCTAAACACATACAGAGTTATTCACTCTAAACACATACAGAGTTATTCATTACTTTAAACACATACAGAGTTATTCATTACTCTAAACACATACAGAGTTATTCATTACTCTAAACACATACAGAGTTTCTATTCATTACTCTAAACACATACAGATTCATTATTCATTCATTACTCTAACTCTAAACACATACAGAGTTATTCATTACTCTAAACACATACAGTGTTATTCATTACTCTAAACACATACAGTGTTATTCATTACTCTAAACACACAGAGAGAGTCTATTACTCTAAACACATACAGAGTTATTCATTACTCTAAACACATACAAGTTATTCACATAAACAGTGTTATTCAGAGTTATTCATTACTCTAAACACATACAGTTATTATTCATTACTCTAAACACATACAGAGTTATTCATTACTCTAAACACATACAGAGTTATTCGTTACTCTAAACACATACAGTGTTATTCATTACTCTAAACACATACAGAGTTATTCATTACTCTAAACACATACAGTGTTATTCGTTACTCTAAACACATACAGTGTTATTCATTACTCTAAACACACAGAGAGTTATTCATTACTCTAAACACATACAGAGTTATTCATTACTCTAAACACATACAGAGTTATTCATTACTCTAAACACATACAGAGTTATTCATTACTCTAAACACATACAGAGTTATTCATTACTCTAAACACATACAGAGTTATTCATTACTCTAAACACATACAGAGTTATTCATTGCTCTAATCACATACAGAGTTATTCGTTACTCTAAACACATACAGTGTTATTCATTACTCTAAACACATACAGTTATTCATTACTCTAAACACATACAGTGTTATTCATTACTCTAAACATACAGGAGTTATTCATTACTCTAAACACATACAGAGTTATTCGTTACTCTAAACACATACAGTGTTATTCATTACTCTAAACACATACAGAGTTATTCATTACTCTAAACACATACAGTGTTATTCGTTACTCTAAACACATACAGTGTTATTCATTACTCTAAACACACAGAGAGTTATTCATTACTCTAAACACATACAGAGTTATTCATTGCTCTAATCACATACATAGTTATTCATTGCTCTAATCACATACAAAGTTATTCATTACTCTAAACACATACAGAGTTATTCATTGCTCTAATCACATACAGAGTTATTCGTTACTCTAAACACATACAGTGTTATTCATTACTCTAAACACATACTGAGTTATTCGTTACTCTAAACACATACAGAGTTATTCATTGCTCTAATCACATACAGAGTTATTCATTACTCTAAACACATACAGGGTTATTCATTGCTCTAATCACATACAGAGTTATTCGTTACTCTAAACACATACAGTGTTATTCATTACTCTAAACACATACAGAGTTATTAATTACTCTAAACACATACAGTGTTATTCATTACTCTAAACACACACAGAGTTATTCATTACTCTAAACACATACAGAGTTATTCATTACTCTAAACACATACAGAGTTATTCATTACTCTAAACACATACAGAGTTATTCATTACTCTAAACACATACAGTGTTATTCATTACTCTAAACACATACAGTGTTATTCATTACTCTAAACACATACAGAGTTATTCATTACTCTAAACACATACAGAGTTATTCATTACTCTAAACACATACAGAGTTATTCATTACTCTAAACACATACAGAGTTATTCATTACTCTAAACACATACAGAGTTATTCGTTACTCTAAACACATACAGAGTTATTCATTACTCTAAACACATACAGAGTTATTCATTACTTTAAACACATACAGAGTTATTCATTACTCTAAACACATACAGTGTTATTCGTTACTCTAAACACATACAGTGTTATTCATTACTCTAAACACACAGAGAGTTATTCATTACTCTAAACACATACAGAGTTATTCATTGCTCTAAACACATACAGTGTTATTCGTTACTCTAAACACATACAGAGTTATTCATTACTCTAAACACACAGAGAGTTATTCATTACTCTAAACACATACAGAGTTATTCATTGCTCTAATCACATACAGTGTTATTCATTACTCTAAACACATACAGTGTTATTCATTACTCTAAACACATACTGAGTTATTCGTTACTCTAAACACATACAGAGTTATTCATTACTCTAAACACATACAGAGTTATTCATTACTCTAAACACATACAGAGTAATTCATTACTCTAAACAGATACTGAGTTATTCGTTACTCTAAACACATACAGAGTTATTCATTACTCTAAACACATACAGAGTTATTCATTACTTTAAACACATACAGAGTAATTCATTACTCTAAACACATACAGAGTTATTCCAATTGAAACACTCACATTCACCTTTAAATAGCTATGGACTTTTCAAAACTAAATATGAAAAACATGTGGTAGCATTGATTGCTGATTCTGGAAGACAACTGACGCTGGGCCATCTAAATCTACAGCCTGAGCTGCTATCGATGATATATCCATCTTTATTGATCTTTACCACCCATGACGTCATGGAGGCATTGTTCAATCTGTATGCAAACGTCTGTCATGTAATGGATGGAGGATATACGTCATCAGGAATGTAAAGGATAAATGTAATAACATGATAGTTTAATTTCAATCCGTACTAAGCAACTCATGTAAGGAATCTCAACTGTGAAGCGTCTACTTTCAAGAAGGGCTAAAGAATAGAGCAGCCCAACAGAAGACAAACACAGCAAAAATGGCAGCAGAATTGTTACTTGACAAGTAAATGTGAATCGAATATATATATGTATGCCTTGTCACAAATGCTTTTCGAACAAACTTTATGGCTAACATCTTTTTCCTTTTTTTCTCGAAACGTCGCA